CCGAGACAACAAGGTGCAGAGCTGGATGAACACAGCAGGCCAAGCAGGGTGAAGGGTCTAGGCCCGAAACATCAGCCTTTTTGCTCCTATGATGCTGCTTGGCCTGCTGTGTTCATCCAGCTCTGCACCTTGTTGTCTTGTATCTTCGATTATCCCTGGTTTTGTCTTGAACAAAGGAGAAACATTGGCTATTCTCCAGTCTTCTGGGACCTCGCCTGTGGCTAAAGAGGACATAATGTCTCTGTCAAGCGCAGCAATCTCCTCCCTTGCCTTCTTTAGTATCCTAGTAGTATAGATTCCATCAGGGCCTGGGGAATTATCTACCTTAATAGTTTGCAAGATGCCGAACACCACCTCCCTAATATCGACATGCCTTAGAGTATCAACAACCCTTCTCTAAACTTACCATCATCCACTTGCTCTAGCTGCACTCAATATTTCTCCATTCTTCTTGAGTGGACCTATCCTTTCCTTAGTTATCCTCTTGCTCCCAATATATGTATAAAATGCCTTGGGATTCTCCTTAATCCTACTGGCCAATGACATTTCATGGATCCTCTAGCCCTCTTAATTTCTTGTTTAAGTTCTTTTCTGCTTCCTTTATGTTCCTCAAGGGCCTTGTTTGATTTGTTTCCTAAACTTTACATATGCTTTTTTTTTAATCATTTGACTAAACTTACAACATCTCTCATCATCCAAGGTTCCTGAATCTTGCCATCCTTATCTTTCATCCTCACAGGAATGTGCTGGTCCTGAACTTTAGTTAACTGGTTTTTAAACGATTCCCACATGTCAAATGTGGATTTATCTTCAAATAGCTGCCCTAAATCCAGTTTTTCCAGTTCCTGCCTCATACATGTAATTAGCCACCTCCCAGTTTAGCACTTTTACCCAAGGTCTAGTCTTGCCCTTTTCCATAACAATCTTAAAACTTACAGAATTATGATCACCATTTCCAAAATTCCCACTGAAACTTCGATCACCTGGCCAGGCTGATTCCCCAATACAAGGTCTAATATGACCCCACCTCAGTTGGACAACCCACATATTGTTTCAACAAACCTTCTTGAAGCACCAAACAAATTCTGCCCCATTGGCACTAAGGAAGACCCAGTGAATATTGGGAAATGTAAATCAAACATTACAGCAGCCCTGTTGTTTTGTTTTTACATATTTCCATAATCTGCTTACATATCTGCTCCTCTAAATCCCCTGGCTATTGGGAGGCCTACACTATAGCCCCATCATAATGATTGCACCTGTCCTATTGTGGAGCTCTGCGCATATTGCCTCTCTGGACAATTCTTCCAAGATGTCCTCTTTAAATACAGCTGTGACATTCTCCTTAATCAGTAATGCAATTCTCACATCCTTTTTACATTCCTCTCTATCGCTGCTGAAATATCTAAACTCCAGATCTGCCAGTCCTGCCCTTCTTGCAATCAGGTTTCTGTAATGTCTACCACATCATAGTCCCATGTACTAATCCAGGCTCTAAGCTCATCTGCATTATCTGTTATACTCCTTGCATTAGAACTTCACATTGACAGTCCCACAGTGTTCATTAACCTGGTCCTGCCAGTTGTTCCTATTAGACTTATCTGATTTAGCCCCGCTCTTCAAACACTCCACATGCAGACTTATTGTTCTGGTTCCCACACTCATTTAAACCCTCCTGAGTGCACCAGCAAACCTCCCTGCAAAGATATTGGTGCCCCTTCAGTTTAGGTGCAATCCCTCTTTCTTGTCCAGGTCTCACCAGCCCTGGAAGATATACCAACAATTCAGATTATCTGAATCCCTCCTTCCTATACCAGCTCTTTAGCCATACAATCAACTGTATTATTTTCTATTTCTGGCCACACTAGCATATGGCACAGGAGTAATCCTGGGATTACAACCCTAAAGGTTCTGCTTTTCAACTTCCTACTAACTTCTAAATTCCATTTGCAGGACCTCATCATTCTTTCTGCCTATGTTGTTAATACTAATATGGAACACAACCATCAAATGCTTATCTCCCTACTTCAGAATATCCTGTGTATACTCAGAGGTTGGGTTGAAGTCCCACCCTCTGCAGAGATGTATCATAACATCTGAATGGATTGAGTAAAATAAAGAGCAAGAGAATGAGTAGAGTCCATTAGGGATGTACCATAGAGATAATCTGTATGTGGACCCAGAACATGTGGGCACCGTTTCAATTAATAACGTATTGGTCTTCAAAATGGAAAAGGACAACTCAGGTACAGACATCAGGGTGGTGGCCGGTGAAATATCAGATGAAATAAACTTGGAGACAGAGAGAGAAGTATTAACATAAGCATTCAACAAAATACAAAAAACACTAAACAAACAAAATAAGTTAAAAGATTCAAAAGAAAAAAGCAAAATCTGGAATTAAGAATCTAATGATAACTATGAAACCGTTGCTGACTGTCAGGAAACCCCAGCTGGTTCATTAACGTCCTTCAGGGAAGGAAATTGCCAGCCTTACCCGGTCTGGTTTTCATGTGACTCCAGGCCGACAGCAATGTGGTTGACTCTTAAGTGTCCTTTGGACAATTAGGGATGGAGATTAAATGCTGATCTAGGCAACGATGTCCACATCCTGTGAATGAATAAAAGCCTTAAAAATCATTGGCAGGCACAGATAAGATACATGATATCCGGTTGAAGAAGGCAAAAGAGATATCACAGGGCCCTTGGTAGTAATTTTCAAATCTGGTCTGGTCACAGGTGAGATACCAAAGGGCTAGGCATCTGCTAACATTGTCCCCTTATTAAAAAAGAAAAATAGGGTTAGATCAGAAAATTAAAGGCCAATCCGTCTGACCTGAATGGTGGGGAAGGTATTAGAAAGAATTGTGAAAGGCAGCATGTATCTGCACTTGGAAAGAGATGTATTAATCAGTGATATTGAGCATAGACTTGTGAAGAGACTTATTTTTGACAAGTTTGACCAAATCTTTTGAGGAGGTAACCAGAAAGGTCAGAGGGTAATGCACGTAATGTGGTGTACATGGATTTTAGTAAAGCTTTTGTTAGGGTCCCTTATGGCAGACTGATCACGAAAGTAAGAACCTGTGAATTTCAAGGCAAAGTCACATATTGGATCCAAAATTGACTTAGTGGCAGGAAGCAGAGGTGTGTAGTCCAGGGGCATTTCTAACTGCAAGCCTGTTTCCATAAGGTTTTGCTGGGCTCGTTGCTGGGGCCTTGCTGTTTGTGGTGCACATTAATTATTTGGTCTTAAATGTCTGATCAAGAAGTTCATGGATAACATGAAAATTGGTAGGATGGTAAATGGTGAGGAGGATAGCTGTAAACTGCAGGAGGATATTAACGGACTGGTCAGGTGGGCAGAACAACGCCAAATGGAATTCAATCCAAACTATGTGAGGTGATGCACTTGGGAGGACTAAAAAGACAACAGATTACATTGAATGGTAGGTACCTAAAAAGTACTGAAGATCAGGGAAAACTTGGTGTTCTTATCCATAGATCCCTGAAGATAGCAGGGCAGATAGGTAAGCTGGCTGAGAAGGCATATGGAATACTTGCCTTCATTGGCCAAGGCATAGAAGACAATAGCAAGGAGGTAATGCTAGAACTGTATACAATACAGCGTGGGCAACAACTGGAGTACCGCATGCAGTTCTGGTCACTGCATTATAGGAAGGATGTGACTGCACAAGAGAGGATGCAGAGGAACCTCACCAGGATGCTGCCTGTGTTTTGGCATTGTTTTCCTTGGAGCAGAAAAGGTTGAGGGAAGGGACCCGATGGATGTGTTTAAAATGATGAGGGACATAGATAGGTTGTACAGGATAGCACTTTCTCCATTAGTGGAGGAGTCAATTAGCAGGAGATATAGATTTAAGGTAAGTGGTAGAGGCCAAGAGGAGATGTAGAGGCTAAGAGGAGATTTGAGGAAATTTTTTTTCACTGAGAGGGTGGTGGGAATCTGGAACTCTCTGCCTGAAAGAGAGGCTAAATCAGAAACTCCTAACATTTTTAGATAGTCACTTGTATTGCCATTGGCTTCTACGTGCCAAGTGCTGGTAAGTGGAATTAGTGTTGCCAGATCTTTCTTGACTGGTATGGACATGTTAGGCTGAATGGCTTCATTCTGCGCTGTTAGCATCGATGACCATAATGACCAAGTCACCCGAGGGCATTTTTGTCAATGTTGTTGAGATAAAAACTGACTGGCAGGGGAATAGAAGTGCTAGCTTTGGATGTTTTGCCATGTTACAGATGCTAGAGAACCACGGGTGTTGTTTATATAAATGCAAATTGTTGTAGTAATCTATCCTCAAGTCAATGTAACATTGAAATGAGAACTTTAAACAAATGTTGATTTATTTGCTACTCTCTCTACATCCAAATTCACAGCAAAAATAAAAAAAAATTCTCCACAATCAATTTTTGTATTTTGTACAATCTGGAATTCATAGGGCTTCTTTAAAACAAAAACAAACTACATTTTTAATAATATATTAAGTATACACAAGGTCATGACATAGGTTGCTTCAGGGAGCATGCCATATAGACTTAAATCGATTTAATGCAAAAAACAACCTGGCTATGTTAGTAGTTTTAAGAAAATACTGTTTTGAAAGAAGAAATTGGGAGCATTTTTTTCTCATTGGGTATACAGAAATAACATAAGAAATTTATTATAAGTTTCACCAACCTACAAGCAAATAATAGATATGATGCAAACACTGTACTACAGTTCAGTGGCTCAATCAGCTTTTCTGACCTGTTTAAAATATCAACATAATTAAACGCTTGTCACAATATTGTATCTGCAAGTTGCAACCAACATCTGTTTACTTGACATTGATGAGGAATAAATTACTCTATTGATATGAGTGGGATGTTTGGACTGTTGTAGATCCAAATAACTATCTTATCACTCGTAATACAGGTTGAAAGATATGGGGATAACTTCAGGAAACATTGGTTTCTGGAGCAAACATTTGTATGAAACAGACAGCAGATGGGCATCAGATGCATCTCACCAATGAAAACATTAGGTATTTTGTTTGGCTCTTATGCAAAGCTGGTACACAGATCTGAGGTAGTTTGAGTTATAAGGAGAGACTGGATAGGCTGGAGCTTTTTTTGCAGGAGTGTCAGAGGCTGAGGGGTGACTTTATAGAGGTTTATAAATTCATGAGGAGCATGGATAAGGTGAACAGCCGAGGTCTTGTTCCAAGGATAGGGAGTCCAAAACTAGAGGGCATAGGTTTAAGGTGAGAGGGGAAAGATTTAAAGGGACCTGACAGGCAAGCTTTTCACACAGAGGGTGTTGCAAGTATGCAATGAGCTGCCACAGCAAGTGTTAGAAGGGGGTGCAATTATAACATTTAAAAGACATTTGGACATGTACATGAATAGGAAAGGTTTAGAGGGATATGGGCCAAAAACAGGCAAATCAGACTAGTTCAGTTTAGGATATCTGGTTGGCATGAACAAGTCAGACTGAAGGGTCTATTACAATGTTTATGACTCTAGGTGGGAAAGGGGGAGGTATGGTAAGGGGAGTCCAAACTGGCAGTCATTTGGATTATTACTTATAATGTTTGAATTATTTCAGCTTCTTCTGGCTTCACAGAAATGGAACTAAACCAGTGTCCTACCTGTTTGTGGGATGAGTTCAAGTTTTTAGTCCAGTAATTACCCAGAACATATGAGGATCAGACTCAACAGGGTTGATGACAGATTTCAATTGGAGCCTTTCAACCAGGATTGGGTTCTCTACTTGCAAGGCAGTGTGTTTAATGATTGTTTCAAATGGGGGAAGCATTAACTTCCAATTTGACAGCCCTTGTGCTGAGATTAAGCATGAGAAATTGTGACCTCGGCCCAAAGCTTAAATCCCAGAGAATTTGCACAACAAGGCTGATGATGATTGTTTATTCTGCTGAATAATCTTTAAATATTATTGATGTCTCATACATACAAGTATCCATGTCATTATTTCAACCATGATGTTGTGCATTACATAGAAATCACAATACTAAATTGGCATAAAGAAAAGATACAGTTTTACAATGAAGTCTTGCTGTCCAAAGTACATCTCACACATCATGATCAAAATTATTTCTGTCCGAAATGAACAAGACCTTTCAAAATCAATACTGTGACATACATTTACTACATTCATGAAATTCATTTTCTAAACAGCATTTTGTAGCTGTTGGGAGGTCAGTAGTGAACTTCTAACGAAGCTGCTGGTTACTTATAAAATTTAAATCCTTTGCAACATTAAGTTCTTCTAATCCCAAATGTACCAATAGCTCATTATATCTAAACTACAATTATTTTCACCTTGAGGATGTAAATTTTACAGATCCAATAACAAGAGTTAACCACCATTCTTGCACATTTTATCATTTGTAAACTAAATAAAGAAAGCAAAATATCTAATATCTCCTGGTTAATGAAGAAGTTGTTATCATTTTGATGGTTAGTATCAGGCACCCCCATATCATCAAAATATTTGCAACTTCTGTAGTTATTTTAGTCCCATTTGTTGCTTTGGCTGCCATTTTGGTGATCAACCACTGCTGGCAGATTTATTAAGTTTTGTAGAAGTTGTGGCAACAAATATAATAACTTGATAATAATTAGGGCTACAAATTTAGGAAAGTACATACCTGCAATTGTCAAACTTATTTTTCTAATCAACTCATTCAGCGATGTTATTACACACCTCTGGAGCAAGTGGGACTTTAACCTGGGTCTCCTGTTCCAAAGATAGGGGCATCACCACTGTGTCACAAGAGGGCTCCTTGCACTTGTTAAATGGAGAAATGGTGAAATATGGACATCTGGCAAGAATAGTTAGTACTTAAGGTTTTCAGAATGCTGGTAAGGCAACAAATATGCTCATGATCCTGCACATTTTTTCTTTACTGTTATCAAGTAGTTGTAACTTTTATAAAGTTTCATTTATGCACTAAATTTTTGGCTGCCATAAAAGCTCTGCAGGCTCCTTCAGCATTGAATTCACCCTGGGCTTGTTTCTGATCCCTCCCTCTTCCTCGAAATGCTATGGCTCCACTCACATCAAGACCTAACCTGAGTGTCCTACATCTCGATGTTGTGAGTGACAGATTCTGACTTGCTCAACTTGTGTACCATTCCCTAATCCAAAGACCATGAGCAATAATGTGGGAAAACTAACACATTTTAAAATGCACTTCATTAAAAGTGTTTATTATTGATATTGTGCAAAAAAATTGCTTACACTATTACCAGTGTCTCTCCAATTGCAACAGAAACAATGTCCATAAACTTCCTCTGATACTATCCCAATGGCTTGATATCCTTCCTTTCCCCTTTAGAAAACAAAAATATGATAGGAATCCAATTTGGAAATTCATCATCCACCTTGCCAGGAGTGGGAGACAGTACTGAAGTGGTAACACCACCAAAGCAGTAATCCAGAGACTCAAGATAATCCTTTGAGGACATGGGTTCAAATCTCATCATGGTAGCTAGTGGAATTTAATTCCATTTAACAAAATCTGAATCTAATCTCAGGGCGGCATGGTGGCTCAGTGGTTAGCACTGCTGCCTCACAGCGCCAGGGACCTGGGATCAGTTCCACCCTTGGGTGACAATCTGTGTGCAGTTTGCACATTATTCCCATGTCTGCGTGGGTTTCCTCCCACAGTCCAAAGACGTGCAAGATAGGTGGATTGGCCTGAACACTGGGTAATTTAGCATGGACAATGGTTGACAATGTTCTCCATCCTGGCAAACCCACAGTTCCTAAGGCCAGATATTAGGAAATAACTAGCAAAAATGTACAAAACAACACCAGATGTTGTGTTTGTTTTTGGCTTCAAGTTAGATGCGGGGTTACAGGGATGGGGTAGGGGGACTAGGTCACGGTTTGGATGCTCTTCTGAGGGTTGGTGTGGACTTGTTGGGCTGAATGTCTTGTTCCCACAATGTAGGGATTCTAATTCTAAAAGGTGTCCATGAAACTGTCATTGGGTTCTGTCAATATCATTTTTTAATTCATTCATGGGATGTTAGCATCACTGGCTAGGCCAGCATTTACTGCCCATTCCTAACTGATGAGTCAACCACATTTCTATAGGTCTGAAGTCAAATGTAGACCAGACCAAGTAAGGATGGCAGTTGTTTGCCTAAAGAACATTAGTGTACCAGATAGGCTTTTCTGACAATCAACGATGGTTTCATGGTCATCATTAGACTCTTAATTTCAGGTTTTTAATTGATTTGAAATTTCAACATCTGCTATGGGGAGGATTCGAACCCAGAGGGTCCCCAAAACTTTATCTGGGTCTCTGGACTTAGTTTACTGCGCCACCATTCTGCATCCCACCTTGACAAATCCCCTCTCTCCCAGACAATTAATATCCTTCAGAGAAGGAAATTTGCTGTTGCTTTCTGATCCGGCTAAAAATACATAATTGTGATTGACTCTTAACTGGTCTGAAACGGCCAAGCAAGCCACTTAGTTCGAGGGTAATGAGGGATGGGAAACAAATACTGGTCTTCTAGCAATATCCACATCCCATGATAGATTAAATTTTAAAAAGTTACACTGTTCAGAATTTATAGCAGAAAGACTTTGAAATTAATTGAGCCAAAGGAAAAAAGTATGGAATAGTCCAAATCTGTATATAGGGCACACTTTAAAGAGTTGCTTTAACTTTCTTTTACTGTTAAATCTTCAAATCCACTTTGACTGCTGCCTAGTCTGTTATACATTAACCTATGGACAACTGGGACCGGATACATTGTAAAGGCTGTAAAACAGCAAAGATGTAACGTTATCAAATCTCAACCACCATCCCCTAACACCCATCACACAATGGAATTTTTGGAATGAAAAATACTCTTCCTGGTTAATTCTCAACTTGTTTGATTCGCCAGCACGTAGTCACGTGAAGCAAAAATCTCCACAGAAATCTCTGGTCACTTATATCCATGATTACATCCACTTCAAATCCACCTCATCATATTCTATGTATCACTGTGTGTGGTGGATTTGCCAGAATCTAACAGCAGTAACCATAAGTCAGTGTTTACCCTGTGCATTTTAGTCAATAAATTTTAAACAACTTCTGATACAATGGGTATTCAAATGCAAAAAAAAACTTAAAATGTAATTTGCTTCATTTTCAGATTATAATATTTATCATATTCATTTTTTTGTTAATTCTCTGAGCCCATATTAAACCTGTGAATAGCATTAGTACTGACGTACACAATGTGCAACATTTAATCTGCCATGGTACAATATAACAGGAATGTAATTAGAATATATTTGCTTGCAACACTTTTCATGAGTAATAATTTACTAACTTGTACAATACAGAAGCATGAGGGTCTATCAGTGAATTTATTTCGTGCTTAGTTTTGATGAACATAAGGCATAAAATATTTTTTAATGTTACGGGTAGGCCCTGAAATAGGGTGGTAAGAGGTTGAATTTGTAACTCAAGAGACCAACAAATGCAAAACAACATTATGCAATTTTTAAAATACAAGTCTCCTGTACAGTGGAAGCCCACATACACTTATGTTAATTCTTATGTGCTACTCTCCAGCTAAGAATATTGAGGTGTCAGTTGCCACAGGTAATATTTAACTTGATAGGAAAGAGTGTCTTTGACTGGCATCTGCTAGCTATCTTTCTGCATTTTAGTCCTAAGTTTCTGTAATTCTTCTTCTAAGCTTTTAATCTGCTCCAGCAAAGCGACTTTATCCTGATGGGCCTTCTGATCAGCTTGACATTTTGCTTCCTCAATCTTCCTCTCATACCACTTTTCCATCTGTGTGGAAACTGCCTCAAAAAAATATTGAGTGATTTCAAGCACAGGTATGCTCTCCTTGACCAATGTGTGAGGTTGCTCCATGCACTGTGCAGCAGAAAGCAACGTGCTGCTCTGTTGTTGCCTATGTCTTACACTGAGAGATTTTTTAGTCTGGGTGCTTTTGTTTTGATTGTATCCCCGAAGTGGATGAACTCTCAACGGTTGGTCCATTTTCACAGCTGAAGTTTCACTAGATGTCTGAAACTTAACATGACTAGATTTTGGCAACGGCTGCTCCACAGGTGTCAAGTCGTGGGGTGTTTTAGAAGGGGGAGCAGAATAAACAGCCCTTTCCTTTGGTCGAACAGCTGGAAGAGAAATTGCTTGGGCAGTGGTTAAGGCGGATTTAGAAGCAGTCAGTGCCGACTGTGCAGTTCCTGCAAAAACATTAAATATTACAAAAGACAAGCATGTTCCTTCAAAAAGTATATTTTACTAATCTGAAAAAGGCATCACTTGTGGATGTATTGCCACTCCTAAAGAAAGTGATTGTTACTGTTCTACACAACGTAATGAACATATGGAGGTAACAAGTACATGTTTTCGTTCCTCGTTTGAGAGACATTTCCTAGGATAATCTTCTCGACATGTTTCTCTAAACTGAGAGTAGTCCTAAATGAACAAGTAATTACAGTGCCACCCTGCAACAGAGAGGAAATGTGACCCTTGCACTAAACAAAATGTATTTCCTTTTCATAAAAGCTCAGTGTGTCCTTCCTTATCTCTTTAAAACCAGTACGGATGAGTTTGATAGTTTTAATGTGAAACACAATTACATGGAATCATTAAGGATTCCTGGTGCTTTGTAGGGTCGAGTCAGGCATATGACAGAAGAGAGGGAAAAATCTGGGGTAGAAGCTGTTTCTGTAATTTTTTTAACCTTTTTGAAAATAGCCACTGACAAAGGAAATCCTTTTCCTGGCTGCAGTGCCTCCTTCCAGATGTTAGATTGCAGGGAAAATATGGGACAGAAGTGGGATGTGGTTGTGAGTCCCCATTAAAATTCTGACAGAAATAGTTCTTAAATGGGTAGCAGTAAATATACCTGAAAGAAGCAGATACACATGCTGCTCTATGACTCATTCAGAAGCATGAATCACTTGATTCAGAGTTTCCCAGAGTGGGAGCAATTAAGAGACCCATATCTTCAATTAGGCCATGACTACACAGCATTGCTCCAATATTCTACATGCTGGTGGGCACAATCTCCAATTATGTAAATTATTGTGTTCCTGTGATTTTAGATGACAACTTGACAGGGTCAGACTGCCGGACAGAAACAACCACCCAACTCTACATCCAGCAATACCTTTGCGGAATTCCTGGACAGGGGTTTTGTAACATTATGATCCCCGCTATATGCTCCCATTTCTCACTGTTCAAAGAAAAATTCCAACAATGACACATTCTAGTACTTGTCTAGTCCTCCAGCTTCATCCATTGAGGTATGATTGTATCAGATATAGATCATCCACCTTTATGATTGAATTGTAGAAGGTCAGGATACCTTCAAGCTCCAGTGGTTTGATAACACTCCGACGGCCTATTTTAACAACCTTTGAAATATTTACTCCGAACAATTTGAAGGATGTCTTAAAAGGATCTATCAAAGTCATTACTTCTGATAACTTTCTCTTTTCAACAAAATCTTGTCATTTGTTCACAAATCTTAACTGAGTGGCCTTTAGAATCAAATTTTAGGAGGACAAAAGGAAACAATTAATTTAAATATTCAAAGATTGCTTCCAATTACTAGGGGCAGAATTCATATACTTTGTAGAATCCTTACAGTGTGGAAGCAGGCCATTCAGCCCATTGAGTCCACACCAATCCTCCAAGACCAACCCCCAATCCTATCCCTGTAACCCTGCATTTCCCATGGCTAACCCACCTAACACTGGACACTACAGGCAATTTAGCATGGCTAATCCATCTAACCTGCACATTTGTAATAAGTGTGCCAAGCTGTATGGTGAATGCTTTTAACCATTTTTAATACCCATTCCAAGATTTTACTTACAATCCTCATTTTATCAGTAAAGGATGAAGATTTGTTTAAGCTGCTCCTTTTATAAAGTATATCAAGATGTAATTCATACCTGGTGGAATATCCTGTTGTCTACATAATGCTTCAACTGGGGATTGGATTTTGGCACCTCCTGATTCTTCTAACAAACAATCATGTAGGTTGATGTCAGGATGTTGTAATAGTTCTCCTGCTTGCTGTGTAACAGGACACATCTGGACAGTTCCATGGTCCCTGGTGCTTAGAACGGCATCAGGTCCTAGACCTTCTGGCACAATTTCACTGGTGGGGGTTGCAGATTTAGATCGCAGTTCTCCTGATAACTTCAGCTCAAGATTTTGAAGCTTTGACATACACCAAGATTTCATATCATCCACCAGTGAAGACTGCAAAGAAGAAGGGAACAATTAAGCAGACAGTGCACACGAACCGAATTTCAGGCCTGTTTTCTCAATTGGAGAAAAAGACATATCACAAAAACTAAGCAACAAATTATGGATAACTATCAGTTTCAATGCATAGAATAACTGAAAACAAAAGCTGTTCCACTGGCATTTCCTCAGCTTTTCTGCCAAAGTTACAGGGGCAAGCGGCATACCTCACAAGAACTTACCAACCCCTAATTTTTGACTACAACGATCACAGTCAGCATAGTTTTGGTGTTTTATGTTTTATGATTGTGATTTTAACACAGACCAACAATAATGAACAAAAATATCCCCCAAATGGTCACTATGTCAATGTGATAGAATAGGAAAACACCAAGATAGGATAAAGTTAGGATAGTGAATAGATTTAGGTGGATATGAAAACACTGGAAAAGTTAATGCAACTCAGGTTTCCTGGAATTAAAATAGGCTTGGGGCATTAAGGCTATTATCTCTCAAACAAGGAAGATTTGACAAATTTATCCGAAATAACCTATTAGCGATAGACAGCATGATTGTGTGTGGAGGAGGTTGTGCCTCACTAACTTGATCAAGTTTTTTTGAGGAGGTGATGAAGCTAATTAATGAAGGAAAAGCAGTTGATGTTGTCTACATGGACTTCAGTAAAGCCTTTGACAAGGTCCTTCATGGCAGACTGGCACAAAAGCTGAAGTCACATGATATCGGGGTGAGCTGGCAAGATGGATACAGAACTGGCTTAGTCATCGGAGACAGAGGGTAGCAGTGGAAGGATGCTTTTCAGAATGGAGGGTTGTGACTAGTGGTGTTCAACAGGGATCAATGCTGGGACCTCTGCTATTCGTGGTCTACATAAATGATTTGGAGGAAAATATAGCTGGTCTAATTAGTAAATTTGCAGATGATACAAAGATTGGTGGAGTTGCAGATAGTAAGGAGGATTGTCAGAGGATACAGCAGGATATAGGTCAGTTGGAAGAATGGGCAGAAAAATGGCAGATGGAGTTCAATCTGGACAAATCTGAGATGATGCATTTTGTAAGGTCATGTACTGGTAGACATTATACAGTGGATGGCAGAACCCTTAGAAGTATTGATATGTTGAGGGATCTGTGTGTGCAGGTCCACAGATCACTGAAGGTGGCAGCCCAGGTACATAAGGTAGTAAAAATGGCCTATGGCATGCTTGCCTTCATTGGAAGGGGGATGGAGTACAAGGATAGACAAGTCAGGCTGCAGCTTTTTAGAACTTTAGTTGGGCCACACTGGAATATTACATACAGTTCTGGTCACAACACTACCAGAAGGATGTGGATGCTTTGGAGAGGGTGCAGAAAAGGTTTACCAAGATGTTGCCTGGTATGAGGGATTTTAGCTATGAAAAAAGTTTATAAGATTGTGAATGGCATGGATAGAGTGGAAAGTATGAGGCTTTTTCCCAGGATGGAGGGATCAATTACTAGGGGACTCAGATTCCAGGTGTAAGTGGGGGGGAAGTTTAAAAGAGATGTGTGAGGCAGGTTTTTCAAAGCATGGTGAGTGCCTGGAACACGTTGCCAGAGGAGGCGGTGGAAGCAGACACAATAGCAGCATTCAAGAAGCACTTTGACGAATACATGAATAGGAAGGGAATAGAGGGATATGGATCCTGTAAGTGAAGACAGTTTTAGTATGGAAGGGCAAAATGTGGCAGCGCAGGCTTGGAGGGCCAAAGGGCCTACTCCTGTGCTGTACTGTTTATTGTTCTTTGTTCTTCAAAATAGTAAAACAAGTGGACAAGATAAACATCAGCCTTCTCAAATAAATGCTGATAATAAAGGCAGAACAACAGCAGGAGGGAAAATGAGAGACTTCCACAGAAAATGCAAAAAGGAAAACAACACCAAATGTGAGATGTTCTTCCATCAGAGTTCACAGACCACTCTGCTCTCTCAATAGTATCACAGAAAATCAACAGGTGGAGGCAGAGCTCCAGACAGGAGACACACAAGGAATTCTGTCCCTTTGAACAAACACCTTCAAACAACAGAATTCTGGACCTAATAAGATAAAGTGGCTAATTTAAGAAAATATATATTTACAACGTACTTTCAATAATGCCTGCCTGTTCTGTTCTTAAGTCTACTCAGATATCTCTGCACTGCATCAGAGGGCCAGGGAGCCCAGTGGTGTTTCAGTGTGCTATGTTACCTTGAGCTTCTTGGTACTGAGATGGCCAGTGGATTTTTCTGCATGCTCTGTTGTCAAGACAGGGGCATGGGGCAGCATGAGCCGGTTTTCTGAAACTTATGTAAGCAGACGCTCAAGGTGGCTGGTTATAAAGTTCATACAAGTTGCCACACCATTAGTGTGGCAAACTGAAGTTGATTGCATGTTTATTACTGTTCACTACAGTGCTCATAGCATCAGTTTGATGCTACAGACATTGATAGATAGGAGTACTTTACATGGGAGGATATAAAAAGAATACCCATTGATCAGGGGTTAAATCTTGTGCAGTGATTGGTTTGAAGGCCTATCAATCGGACAGCAATGTGGATCTAAGGCTACAACCAGATCAGCCAATATCTTATTGAATGGTGTAGCAGGCTTTAAGAGCCAAATGGCCTATTCCTGCTCCCAAGTACAATGTTCTTAATGAGGGAAGATGTTCCTCCCCCTAAACACAAGGACACATTACCTCCAAATTACGCAACTGAGGTTTTAAATTCTCCATGTAAGGCATCTCAGCCATGATCACAATCTAATCATAGAATATACCTTGCTAATGTGAAAGTTGCATATAAATTGCACAAGTTATAGATTAGGTGGCACGGTAGTTCTCATTTATTTATTCATTCACAGGATGTGGGGTCACTGGCCAGGTCAGCATTTAATGCCCAGAAAGCAGTTAAGAGTCAACCACATTGCTGTGGATCTGGAGTCACATGTAGGCCAGACCAGGTAAGGATAGCAGTTTCCGTCCCTAAAGGACATTAGTGAATCAGATGGTTTCATGGTTATCATTGGACTCTCATTTCCAGATTATTATTGAATTCAAATGCTAATATCTGCCATGGCAGGATTCAAACCGAGGACGACAGAATATATCTGGGTCTCTAGACTAGTAGTCTAGCAATAATACCACTAGGCCATCATCTACTCAAACAATGTTACTAAACTGGTATCCAGAGACCATGCTGATGCTCTGGATACACCTATAGCTGGTGGAATTTAAATTCAATTAATAAAGTCTGGAATTGAAAGCCAATATCAGTATGGTGAACATGAAACTATTGTCAATTGCTGGAAAAACCTGATGTCCTCATGCCACTAATGTCCTTACCTAGTCTGGCCAACATGTCATCCCAAACCCAAACAGTGCGGTACACTCTTAGCCATTCAGTTCAAGGGGCAGTTTGGGATGGCAACAAATCCTGGCATTGCTAGCAGTTTGTATCCCATTTAAGAAAATATGGAGGTGATTACTGCTGGAACTTTTTAAAAATTCCTTCACCCTCAGTTAGAAGTGCAACCTTTACATAACTGGACCTTGATTGTTCTCCAGGTACCACTGCATCAGTCAATGCAATGGGTAATACTTTCACTTTCTCATCCTCTTGCTACACAGCAAAGTCTATGGAGACCAATTTAATTTACAACCTTCATGTTGCTCTTGCTTGAATAGCTCAGTTACAAAGGTGTAACACACATCTATGCCACTAAACCAGGTCAGACTCTCTTAATTTCTGATATTCTCTGAGCCTTATCAACATGCTGATGTGGCTGAAACAAAAAAAAAATGACAGCCTTAGCACCAGCTATCTTGCTTTGGATTCAATGTGCTTTTGCTTGCTCTGGTCTGCATCTGAGGCTCTAGATTTTACTTGTACATCTCACAACAGCAGGTTACTTTGTTTGCACTCTGCTAGATTCTGGCCGAAGTTTACTTTTTGACTGTATGTTTCCTTGCAAAGTTTTCAGGGCCAATAAAGGCGCAAACTGCAATTTCTAATCAAATCACTCTTCGGCCACATTTTACCATGGCATATCCCTAAGAGGAATAAAAATATACTTGAATAAAAGTACCATTATATTACATAACATGAAAACTCTAATATGTAGTCTACTGCGTCCCAAACTTTTCCCTCCGTGACCTCATCACAAGACTTGAAAATTGTCATCACCACTCAGGGAGAAATGTTAGAGCTGTACAGCTGTTATATCTTGGTCAGAGCTCCCCAGCAGCCATTGCTGCCTCAGAGTTCACGAACCCAAAATTTTTGCTTGTGATCCAACTTGGATGCCTTGTTCACTGACAAGGAAATGCCAGGTTAGGATTTCCCAGGATTCTTACATTATGTAAAGGAACAGCAAAAGAAAACCATTTTTTAATCTTGTCATCAGGATTTATGGTTTTACCTGGCGTTTGTCTCCTTCCAGTCTCTCGAGCACTGCACGCTGGTCAATACGATGGAGGCATTCTGTCCGTTCAGCTGAGATCCTCTCAGATGTTAGTTTATCTAGGACTCTGATCTGAGTTTTTAACAGGCAAACATTTGTATTGTGTTAAATTCTTGTAACTGCGTAGAATTTACCTCCTGATTTTGTTTTTCAGGAATACCATATACTCATCTTAAACATTGTGCCAGATTTCACTGTTCTTTCAATGTAAATAAACACATATTGAGAATAAAATAGAAAATATTTTGAAAATATTAAACAAGTAGCCACTTCATTTGAACAAAAAACAAAGATGTAAACTGTCATAGCATCTCTCACAACTTCAGGAAGTCCCAAAGCACTTTACAGTAGTCATTATTGCAAGATTAGCAATGTGACAATAGCAATACAATAATGACCAGAAAACCTGTTTTTGATATATTGACTTAAGAGATAAACATTGGACATGACTCTGGGAATAACTTGTTTGCACCACTTTAAGGATAATGGCACTGAATGTTTTATATCCACCTCAGAGAGCAGATAGTGCCTCAGTTTAACATCTCAGCTGAAAGATGGCATCTCTAACAGTGCAGCACTCCATCACTACTGCACCAGATTGTCAGCCTAGACTTTTGTCCTCACAACACTGAAGTGGGTCTTGAACATTTGGACTCGGGGGTGCCATTATTGAGAAGTAGCTGACACAGAATACGTTTATCTGTTCAGGTTGTGTTGATATTCATTGAGTGCTGCTAGAGAGAAATGTCAGCTTAGAACAGGATGATACCTTTATTTATTTAGTTAATTGGAATATGTGGAAAAGGCCAAATTGTGACTGTGGCTGTTCAAGTCAAACCATTGCCCATGTCCTGAACTATTGTCCTGACAGATCCATTCCTTGTGCCGTCACAATTAATACTGCAACAGCTGAAGCGTTGGAATGGATAGTTAATCTCAACATTGATCTACAACTGTTTCCCTAGTCATATGACTAAAACAAAAGTTATGAAACATAGACTGAGCCAAAAGATCATGTGCCAGGGAAAATGCAACGTAGTTAAAGAGGCACTTTCTTTATCATAGGATAACTAGAAGAACCACATATTATGGTCATCAAATGGTGCCATTCCTCTGATTGCTAACTCTCTATTTTAAAAGCATGATTTCTATTTTAACCTCATCCAGATCTGAAGTTCCTTTATCCCCATACATTTAGCTGTCAGCATATGTGCAGTAAGCACTTGGTACCCTCAGCACAACAAAATTTAATTAGATGCTTTTCCATTTGAAGGCAGACTCAACAAGAATAGGAAGGTTAGGGCAAGTTCAATGTTTCAAAGCTGGAAGTATCTAATCTCAATAATGGACTGGATATTGGACTTGTAGAATACCAAGGTTGTAATCTGGTGGGTTAACCTGTAATTGAGGTAGACTCATGGAATTTGAATGAAATCAGTTTTACTGAGTGAGCTCCAAGAACTTCTGCTACTTCACTTTGTAACTTTAGGCTCAGCAGGCACTCATTAACATAATACCAATCATAGAAACTAAGGCAGAATTGGTGAAGTAGAGCTGGACATCCTCAGTGCATGTGTAATTTATAGGATGGTCAATCTAATTCTGGTGATTAGGCTCACTAACAGTGAGTGTCCCCATTCTGGCTAAAATTGCTAGCTTCCAACCGAGATCTTAGGTGCTCTCCAGTGACCCAATGGGAGTCTCCCTACCAGGACTAGGAGGCCCAGTTCAAATCCCACCTGCTCCAGAGATGTGTAATAACATTTCTGAACAGGTTGATTAGAAAAATAGGTCAATTAAAAAAAAGCAGTAGTGTTACACAACACACTTAACTATACTAAGGATTTAGGGAGATGATGTGGACTGGCTTTGGTTAATCATTGAACATTCCACAAGAATGGAAATTCCATTAATGATTATAATTTTTGCTTTGATCATAAAATAATACTCCAGAAAACACTCAGGAATTCCTGGGATTCTACTACGGAAAAGTTACATCCAGTGGCAAATACAGCCAATTATGATCAAGAAAGTTCTAATAAGAACTCTGCAATCTCTGATTTCCTCTGAATGAAGTGGATTCACATTGGACACATAGAAAATAGAACAGAACAGCATAGGAACGGGCACTTTGGCCCACGATGTTATGCTGAATAAGATGCCAAATTAAACTATTCCCTTCTGACTGCCCTTGGTCCATATCCCTCCATTCCTTGCACATTCATGTGCTTGTCTACAAGCTCCTTAAATGTCCCTGAAGCTTCTGCCTCTACCACCAACCCTGGGAGCACGTTCCAGACACCGATCATTCTCTGTGTAAAAAACTTGCCCCTCACATCTCCTTTGAACCTCTCCCCTCTCACCTTAAATGCATGCCCCGTAGTACCAGACATTCCACCTCTGGGAAAAAGATTCTGACTGTCAACCCTATCTCATTATTTTGTAGATTTCTATCAAGTTTCCTGTCAGCCTCTGATGTTCCAGAGGAAACAACCCTAGTTTTTTTCAGCCTCTCCTATGGCTCAGACTCTCTAATCCAGGCAGCATCCTGGTAGACCTCTTCTGCACTCTCCTGAAAGCATTGTATTTCAATATTTTTTCGCTTTTACATTAAGAACACCTGACATGAGATGTATGTGAATTTCTACAGAAAATAATTCAGTCAGCAATACAATCCCTGGCACCATCAGGAAACCCAGTTCCCTATGTTTTTATCCTTCAGCATCCAAAAGCTGTTGTTAATTTGTAGCTGGAGCCAATTGTATAGTTAATGAACCATTGTGCCAGAGCCTTGAACCCCACTTCAAATAGGTTTAAAACTAATTATTTAAATTATCCAACTAAAACACTATTGATTAAAACACTTTAAATCAGCACATTTACAAACTACTGATGGACCACAAGGTCAGAAAATATTGCTCTTTTACCTCATGCTTATTTCTTCCTTCCAGTTCTCCAAGTTTTGCATTCAATTTTCCTTGCACAATTTCAAGTTCGGCTTTTATTTCTTCCTTTGTGGCTTCAAGACGGTTCTCAAGTTTATTGATCAAGGGCTCACAACGGCAACCATTTATCGGGGCCTCAACGACAAAGAGAAAAAATGAGTCATCTGCTGATTAAAATTAGTCAATCAGCAAGCGATAAAGGCACCCTTTATTAGATGAGTATTTGACTACAGGAGTAAAGAACTCTTACTGCAATTACAAACATTGCCTTGATAGGGTTCTTGTGGCACAGTGGTAGTGTCCCTAACTTTGAGCCAGAAGGCTAGGGTTAAAGTCCCACCTGTTCCAGAGTTGCATCATAACACATGTTGACTAAAAGTGTCTATACAGAGTTTGCAGGACTTAGGACTTAGGGCTATGTCTATTTACTTATCCTTGTCATGAAAAGAGTACAACAAAGGGTCACCAAAGCATTTTCTGGGATGGAGGGATTGTTCTATGAGGAAAGATTAAATAGACTGGGCAAATATTCTCTGGAAATTAGAAAATGAGTAGTGATCTCAATATACAAAATTCTTACAGGAATTAACATGGCAAACACAGGAAAGATGTTTCCCCTGCCAGGGGTGGTCCTAAATCAGAGAACAGTCTTAGAATAAAGGGGTAAAGCAGTTAGAACTGAGAACAGGAGGAATTTCTTCACTTAGCGGGTGATAAATCCTTGGTTTTTTTTGGTCCCAGAAGATTTCTTTGGCTGTGGTGGCTTAGTCATTGAATATGTTCAAAATTGAGAGATTTCTATGTATTAAAAATATTAAGAGATATGGGGATACAGAGGAAAATGGCATTGAAGTAGATCAAACATGATCCCAATGAATGGCAGAGTGGACTCATAGCCCTGAATTGCCTACTCTGCTCCTATTTCTCATGTTCCTATATAATGTCCAATTAGGCTAAACTTTAGCAAAAGCACTTCTTCAAAATCAGAAATCTACTCTTCTAATCTTCCAATGTAAATGTATTCACATGCAGAAGAATTTTCAACAGAATATCCCATGAACCCTGCTTACATCTTCAAATAATCAAACATCTTTGGACCACTTAACTCAATTATTGATTCATTTCAGCATTACTTCCAATTTGGACTTTTCCAAAACCCCAACCCCATACCCAGAACTCTACGCTATACAAAACTTCAATTCATCAAAACCCCAAGGCCTATTTAGTCCAAATTGTGCTAAACCAGTCCTGTCTATTATTCCACCCTTCACCTAGCTGTGCTGGTTCATGTAGAAGGCACTGCACAGCTCTGCCTTGCCTCATTTCTGTCAGGACTGCATGCCAGCAATATCCATTCTCCTGTGACATTTGTGCAATATGTCTATTTCCTTCATTAATTACATTCTCTTGGCTTTTAGAAACCTATCATTTTGACTGTGCCTTGTTCAATTTACCATAATTTTTCTTTCTGAATGTTTAGGCCTAAACTGCACCAGTAGAGCCTTAGGATGTTGCAAAGTCATAGAGATATACAACACGGAAACAGACCCTTCCGTACAACTCGTCCATGCCGACCAGATATTCTAAACTAATCTAGTCCCATTTGCCAGCATTTGACCCATAACCATCTAAATCCTTTCTGTTCATAATACCGATGCAGATGCCTTTTAAATGTTGTCATTGTACCAGTCTCCACCACTTCCTCTGGCAGTTCTTCCATACTCGCAACACCCTCTGCATGAAAAAGTTGCTCCTTAAGTCCCTATTAAATCTTTCCCCTCTCAACTTAAACCTATGTCCTCTAGTTTTGAACTCCCTTACTCTGGGTAAGAGATCTTGACTATTCACCCTATCCATGTCCCTAATGATTTTATAAACTTCTATACAAAGTCACCCCTCAGCCTCCGATGCACTAGGAAAAACAGCCCCAGCCTATTCAGCATCTCCCTACAGTTCAAACCCTCCTATCCTGGTAACATCCTTGTAAATCTTTTCTGAACCCTTTCAAGTTTCACAACTTATTCTTTAGATTATTGCATAATTGCAGTGATGTATATTAATATTAATTAGTATATATATTACTAAGGTTTACTAATCTAATGAAACATGAGTAACAAGTAAATCAAAACCAGTCTCTAAATGAAGATATTCATCAAGTTATTGATGATGAGCATTTTATATCACACATTATTTTGAAATAAATATTGCCACAACACTGTTAGAATAAGTTATGTGGACAACTTTATTTTTTGATTAGCTAGGCGTTTGACACATCATGTTTAAAAGTCTATATATGTCTGTGCTTGCTGATGCAGAGTGGACACTCTCTTTCTGAAACACAACCTGCTGATCCAGGTTTGGTACGTTTGCCTATAATTTGGCAGCACCAGGCTTGGGACCTTAAATTCTATGTAGCACCACAGCAGAAGAGTATTCACTCTACAACGGATACACAGTTGCAGTATGTACAATTACAGGATGCACTGCAGAAATTCGCATCAGGCTCATTAGGAAGCACTTTCCAAACCCAGAACAACTACTATCTACAAGGGCAAGGATAGCAGATAGATTGGAACACAACACAGCACGTTTCTCCTCAAAGCCACACACCATCCTGACTTGGAAATATTCTTCCATTCCTTCAGAAATCCCTCCTTAACAGCAATAATTACCTCCATACACCAAATGGACTGCAGTGGTTCGAGAAGGCCATCACCTTAACAACAGCCCCCAGGGATGGGCAATAAATACTTGACCAACCAGCAATGTCCAGACAGTCAACTACCTCAACAACCTGTATGAGGGGACTACAATCTTCTGCAGCGCTGGAGTAGCAACAATTCTACATTAGCAAGCAACTTTATTATAAAAGCTTTACTTTATGTGATCGCATTCCAAGTTTTTGCATCTTCTCTTCTACCATCTCTAAGCTATAGATGCCCCTATTGGATTTTTGTTGAGTAGTTAATACACAGTGGTTCTTTAATATCCCATGTCTTTAGATTTAGACGTTGGAAATTATTGACTAAACATCTACTTTGAAAATATCTCTTTGACAGGCGCACAGACTAGAACCCAGCCTCCTTGGCTGACAATAGAAACATAGAAATAGTTCTCTTGTGATTGAGCACCCCATCATATTAGCACAGAGGTGGCATGCTACCCTGACCTGGTAGTTGCTTTCTATTGAGAGACCAGCATCTAGCCATAGACAATTAGGAGCTATTTGACTGAAGAAAGTAAATAACGAACAATCTGAAGTTTACCAGTGATGTCAAACAGTTCAATTGGAAAGAAATTGTCACAAGAAGTTAGGATTGATAGTGCTCCACTCTGAATTCCAGGCTTATACAATGTAATTGATGAACTTCAGGAGACAGGGAGCATTATGGACACAAGAATTTCCACCACTTTTGGAATGTATTACGATATAAAGAAGTAAGCCATTAGGATAAGAAAGGCTGCATTTAATTTTTTTTTTACAGAAAAGAAGAGACAAACATTATTTCAACATCACCCTGAATAAATAAGAATAATCATAAAGTAAAAACTGGAGATGATGTAGGAATACAATTGATATCAGGGGCTGATTTTAAGACCATTGACTAATTTTGACATTGGAATAATTGAAATAAACTGCCTAAGTTTAGGTCTACAAATATATGATGCTATTTTGTTGAGTATTGCAGTGCAATGTGGTCAATATTCTGTGGAATATATTCCAATTTATATGCGCGATAAATTGGAAAACAATTAATCAGTGTAGCATTGTGCAGTTACCTGCATGATTTTGCCATCCTTGTTTCTGTATAATGTATAAAGCTGGTAGGCACGGAAATTATGAGGGAGTAGAGCTTGCTGTGGGTTTGGGGAACAGCAGCAATGTTTGCTTCTCCTTTTCCTGATATTTGCATTGTCTTGTTGAGGCTGCTGGTCTGTCAGTGGAAGGGGATCAGAAAGAGTGGAACTCTGTGGAAAAGTAGATGTTCAGTAAGTTTGCATTAACTAGCTTGTGGCACAAATTAAAACCAAGGAACAATATATTCTATAAGTAATACAACTTATTGCTTGGTGTTTTAAACTAGAATTGCTTACTTGTCCTCAAATTTACTTGTTGGGGAGGCGATGGCCTAGTGGTATTATCGCTGGACTATTAATCCATAGACCCAGATAATGTTCTGGGGACCCACGTTCGAATCCCACTGCAGCAGATGGTGGAATTTGAATTCAATAAAATATCTGGAATTAAGAATCTAATGACATTGTTGATTGTCAGGAAAACCCTCTCTGGTTCACTAACATCCTTTAGGGAAGGAAACTGCCATCCTTACCTGGTGTGGCCTACATGTGACTCCAAACCCATAGCAATGTGGGTAACCCTTAACTGCCTTCAGGGCAGTTACGGATGGGCAATAAATGCTGCCTAGCCAGCGACACCCTCATCCCATAAACGAATAAAGAAAAAAACATTTGTTATACTTTGATGTACCACCAAATGCAAACTTTAAAAGACCAGAAGAAACAAGTACAAACCAGAAAAAGAAAAGCTTAGCAATGTTTTGAAGAAGTGTTTCTTCACACAGTGATTCATAATTGTAATGTGCTTCTGAAATAGGCTATAGGTGAAGTAAAAATGGAGCCACTTACAAGGCAGCGGAATGCAGTGATGAGACAGCAGTATGTATTTCCCATTTGTGATTGCTCTGAAGCATCAGGAATCAGCCAAGGTATGCAAGACTGCAATCATACAAACCCAGACCAGACAAGCCAAGGATGGGAGATGGTCTTTCGTTAAGGACTTGAATGAATGGGTTGGGTTCTATTTAACAATGAATTGTCATACTTCTATGTCACAACACTTATTACCACATTTATTGAATTCAATTCCACACCTTGCCATGGTGGGATCTGAACTCAGCTTATGCGTTGCCCATTATCACTGGACTCCTAAACCTGTCATGGAAGGATGAGCCAGATGAACTGAGTTGCCTCTCACATTATTATTATTGTAAATAAAAAGGCGGCTTGTATATAACTTACATATTTTATGATCCAAAGACAAATCAAAGCTCTTCACAGCTTGTTAAATGCTTTTGAAATGCAATCCCTCTTATAATACATGGGAAGCAGAAGCCAATTGCACACAATAAGATCCCACAAATGAAAATAAGATACTGATCAAATGACCTGCTTTAGTGACGCCCACTGAAAAATAAATATTGGTCATGAAATGGAGAGAATTTTTCTGCTTTTCTTCAAACACAAGATTATTTGCAGTAATTACCTTGTCATGTATAACTTGGACTGCCAATGGAAACGGTAAATAACATCAGGATTTTTAAACTGCTGATCGCTAAAGAAGAATGCAAATTGTTTTCAGAGTGAAGATATTGTCCAGCAGCCATTTTGAGTGTTTAACTTTGATTGACACAGACTGACTGATTTTATCTTTGGGAAATGTGAACAATAGAATGAACCTTGTAAGTAACTCTTTTTATAAGAATCAATGAATCTCATCATAAATGCATGAGGGACTTACCAGACCTATGAATAATACACTATTTAAGAAATCCAGTTACTTTTGCAACAGCTTGCTGAACTGTACTTGCTCAATTTACCTTTATTTTTTCTTAATGATGCTGATGGAAAAAATAAAGCTAAAATTATCTTTACCTTCTGTTTTTTCTTTCTCTCCCACTTTTTCTTCTGTTCTGGTGTAGCTACTGCGATTAAATCATCCCCATTTTTTTTCTTCTTATGTCCTTGTTCACTGCTGTGGCCATCATCCACTGAGACACTTCCCTGTTACATACCAGGAAACACTAAGTGACTAATTCATTGCGAACTCCAGATTTAGTATTTCATGAAAAAGATTTAAATGCCTCTTGGAAAAAAGAAGAAATTTGATTGGTACTCTTTGAGAGGCGACAATGAAAAGTTATGTCCTCTAACGACTATACCACAGAACAGGAAATACACATCATTGATGATCATTTTAATAGCTTCACATACATTGGAATAAAATAACCCAAAGCACTTTTCACATGGTGAAACTAGCTTTTCAGCAACAAAAAGAAAAGCTAACAATGATGTGAGTAGGCATGGTCAGACTAGTCAGTGTTTTGGAAGACTTTTGATCCCACCTTCCTTGTATACTGCTTTCCCAGTTCCAACATCCTTTTCTCTCTGACATTCTTGAACATGTTGTCGCACTTGCTAAATCTATTTGCATCTTTCCTGAATTCCACATTTGAATCAGTTCATTCAGATTTTGTCTCCTGCCATGTACTGAAACAGCTCTTATTCAAGGGACAAATGACTGCTACGTGAGTGTGACAAAGACAAAATTTCTACTGTCTCCTTCTTGACAAGTCTGCGGTCTTTGACATGGTTGACCACACCTTTCCACTGTTGTCCAGCTGGGAGACACCACTTGCACTTGGAGACCATTCTTTTCTGTCTAATTATAGCCAAAGTATCACTTGAATGATTCCTCCTCCTGCTCCTGCTCCATTACCTCTGTTGTCTTCCAAAAGTCTATCCTTGACCTCTTCTTATTTTTCATCTGAATGTTCCTGCTCAGCCACATCATCCAAAAGCACAGTCATTTTCATACGTACACTGGTGACTCCCAGGTTTACCTCACTACTACCTCTCCACTCCTCCATTGTTGTTAAGTGATCTGATAGCTTATCCAACATTCAGTGCTGGATGAGGAGAAATTTCCTCCAATTAAGATTTTGGAGGAGTGAAGAATTTATTTTTCACCCTGCCCTTAAACATTGTTCCCTCGGTACTTCCTCTCCCTGGTAAGTCTGGGATTGGACCAGTCTGTTTACAACCTTGGTGTCTAATTTGACAGTATGAACTTCTAGCCTCACATGCCCTATCAATAATAGTTCTTAACCTCACCTCTCTAATATCACTCAACTTCACCCCTGTCTCAGCTCACCCATGCTTGCTAACTCTATATTTGACTGGTCCAATACACTTCTAACTGACCTCCTTCATTTGGTCCTCCATAAACTTGAGTTTATTCAAAACTCTGGTGCCCTGTTTTAACCCACACCAAGTCTTGTTCACCCCTATATTCAATGATCTACATTAGCTCCCAGTCAAGCAAGACTTGATTTTACAATTCTCTTCTTGTTTCAAACTTTCCATAGTCTTAACTCTCCTGATCTCAGGAACCTTCCAATCCCACATCTCTCCCAAAATATCTAAGTTCCTCAAATTCTGGCATTTTGAGATTCCCCGATTTTAACTGCGCATTGGTAGCAACCTCTTCAGTTACCTAGGCCCCAAGATCAAAAATATCTTTTAAGGCATTCCTTAAAAGCTACCTCCTTGATCACGTTTTAGCCTGCTATCTCCCTAAGTGCCTAGGTGTCATATTTTGTTTAATAATACTTCCTTGAAGTCCTTGGTACTTTTTATTTTATTCAGTTCTGTTATATATAATTTTATGTTGCTATAAGTTACAGTTGGCTTTTGAAGGAGCAGAATCTAGGAGGAAGATGCAGCAGCTTATTTAAAGCATTGCAGTGTGAGGCCAAGATGACTGCATGCTCTGTGACTAAGGAATGGAAACAATACGTGAGAAAAAAAGGCAGGAACTGGTACATAGCATTGGAAAAATTCAAATAAAGATGTAAAGGAGCACAAAGTTGTGAAGGACTTCCAGATGCAGGTTTTGAATTTTGTATATTTAAGGCTAGACAGCAGGCGCAACAAGATAGAGTGAGAAAAGCATCAAGCTACACAAGGGATAAAATGCAGGTTGGCAGAGCTTTGGAATGAATTACACCGAGGACGCTATTGGAAAAATAGAGGCAAAAAGTGATGAAGTCAGGAATGAGGATTTTATCTGCAGGAACAGGAAGAAGAATTACAGCTTGACAAAGTTATAGTATTGAAAATAGGTGGTCCGCATGATGGCATGAATGAGAAGTTTGAAGTTGAGCACAGAATTAAAGTGAATTCAGCCTCTCCACGTCTTGCCAGCTACTTATAATCAGGGACTCCGGACACAACTTCTGTCAGAATTTCAGTGTTATAGATTTAGAATTGCTAACAAGACATTAGAGAAAGTCCAGCTCCACTGTAGCTTGACATTGGACAAACAAGTCAGACAAGTAAGGCAGGTGGACATGGAAACAACAGTGGTGGGAAACTAATAGAACTAGATGCTGTCAGCATGCAAATGAGTTTGGAACCAATGCTTATGGATGTATGAATGGTGTTTCTCAAAGACAGAGCGTGGACAAGGTAAGGAAAGGTCCGAGGATGGAATGTTTATCCGAGCGGGCCTTTAGGAGGCAGGAGCAGAAGTTACTGCAGAAGTACTACTGAAGTACACTACGAGATGTAGGAGTGGAACAAATGAGATAGAAATAGGACTGAGTGAGTATTACCAAATAAAAACTAATTACCTTGCATAACATCAGCAAATTCTCAACATATACATCATGCACTGCAGGGCTATTAGACTCAATATAAATTACTTTAGTGATGTATTCAGACAGCACAACAGGATATGAAAATTTCATTCAATTATTTTTGTTGATGAAATAATCCATGCATTGAGATATCAACGCTACATTCAAGCTTAGTTAACTTGACAAGCTGACAACAAAATTACTACCATTTACAAAGTCTCCTTTCAGTCAATCTCGAAGCAAATGGAATCAAAATGCTCAAAATGGTTTCAGAGAGAACAAATAATTAACCAAACAGTTCCAGGCTTGTAAACAGTTCAAATACAAGCTATTCCACAGCAAATCATATTGATTAGCACAACAGTGTACAATAGTTTTTCAGATGAACATATAGATTTGATTGTAGAGAAGTGCCCTATCAAAAATCTTGTAGTTTTGGAAATTTAGTTAAGGTCAAAGTTAAACTTAAGGTCTCCACAATTACTGTATTTTGAACCTCCAGATTAAATTTTAAATGATCGAGCACTTCAAAGAAGTCAGATTTTAATGATCAATGCTCAGCCCAGCTAATTGCATACCATGATACTGAATTGATAAGTATTTTCCTCTTCCTGTCTATTCCCTAATTTGTGCCTTTTACTTCTGAAGGTATTGGGTTACATTCACTAGATCTACTGTCTGAAGCATCTTGCCCAGTTGCTCCTTCTCATGCATGAGAGAATTCGTGGACACTTCAAAGTAGGAAGATTAGAGGTCAAATCCTACACTAACGTAGGTTTTCCCGACAGGATCACAGGGCAGTAATAAGTGGGAACACTGACTGATTTTTCTCTTTTCAGCTGAGGGCCCTCTCCACAGATGTTTAGAGCATCTATGTACCTTACTCTGGATCAAATCATCACGAGGCACAGATTGGGCTCTTCGTTCTTGCTTGAGTTTTTCCCTCCTCTTCCTCAGGCTTCTCCCACGACAGAAACTGAGAACCTGGCAACATTACAAAAATATTTCACTTCAGGCATCTTCACAAAAGTTAATACAATAAAGTTGATTTATCACATACTGCCCTACTAGAATTGTTGTGACCCAGCAGTTACATAGAACGGTGTGGAGCTGGATGAACACAGCAGGCCAGGCAGCATCAGAGGAGCAGGAAAGCTGATGTTTCGGATCTGGACCCTTC